GGGGAGGGGGGAGGGGGGGGGGGGGGGGGGGTCATTTCCTGAAGAGCAGCTAGTGTAGGCAATGGGGGGTAGAGATTCAGGAGGGGGGATGGACTGATGCAGCTTCTCCAAGCCAGGCAGGGATCCAAAGAAAGCACAGTTGGAGACAGGGAAAGGAGGGAGCAGGAGGACGCATGCTGACATGTCGGGCAGAAAGCCAGCGTGGCATCTTGTGGCCAGTAGAGCCTGTATTTACTCAGTTGGACCGGATGCTTCCTCTTGTATGCAAAGCAGGGCAATAACAGCTATCTTAGGAGATTGCTGAGAGGGTTAGCTTGGATATGAGGGAGTTGGGCTGAGAACGTTGGAGCTCAGTGGTGGAGTGCTTGCCTAGCATTCGTGAAGCCCTGGATTGATTCGCCATGAAGAGAAAAGAAAATCAGGGAAAAGAAGAGAATGAAGTAATTCAGAGCGTGGGCTCTGGAGCCAGACTGACTTGACCTTGTTTTTTTACCTCTCTGGCTTCAGTTTCCTCATCTATAAACAGGGGTGATGGTGTCTGTTTCATAGGATGTTATGAAGTTTAAGTGAACTTTGATGGTGATGCTTATCTTACAGGAATGCTATGAGGTTTAAGTGGATTTTGTTTGTTAAACAACTCGGTAATACTAATGACCAGAGTCATTTATCAAGCTCTTTCACACACCACATACTTGCTTTATCACTTTATATACTTTATCGCATGAAATCCTCACTGCCACCCAGGAGTTAGGCAGCTGCTGGATCATTCCCATTTAATAAATGTGGAAACTGAGGCTCAGACACAGATTAACGGTTTTATATTTTTGTAGAACAGGGATTGGTAAACTGTGGTCCATGTGCTAAATCCAGGGAGCAGCCTGTTTAGTTGCTGTTTATGTCTGTTTTCATGTTACAGTGGTGGAGTTGAGCAAAGCCCAAAATATGTACACTCTGGCACTTTCCTGGAAAGGCTGACTCTGCTGTGGGAAGAGGCAGAAGCAGGATTTGATCTGGGTCTGCAGCCAAAGGACTTAACTCCCCGACTCTCCCCTTTCATGCGGTATCACTGCTAGTGGACACTAGGGGGTGGGAAGGCATTTCATGTCCTTTGCATGTTGGGAAGCCTCCTCTTTGCTCTTTAAAGTGAGGAGTAAAAGTGCAAGGAACTTGGGAATTCTCCCTCCTTCCCTCAGGGAAGCAGTGAGAGCTCAGGGAGACTGCCAAAGCCTGTCCTGAGGTACACCATGTTCCATCAACGGGACTCTGAGGTGGGAGGGAAACGGGAAACCCAAGTCACGGAGAAGAGGGAGCAGGCTGAATGGTCGGGGGAGTGGGGACAAGAGAAGAAAGAAGAGAGGAGAAGAGAAGGGGATGAGAAAAGACGGAAATGAGGATGATGTGAATGAGAGTGATTGCTAGGTGCAGGCAGGGAGGAGGGGCCTCTCTGAGACCGGGATGACAAGGACCCAGCCTTGGGAAGATCAGGAGGAAAAGCACTCCAGGCAGAGGGAAGAGCTAATGGAAAGGCCCTGAACAGGAAAATCTTGCATTTTAAAGGACGGAGAGGCCAGTGCGGCTGAAACAGAAAGAAGCCTAGATACCTCCGGCTAGCTAACCTAGGTCTAGGGTCATCAGCCATCTTGGTTTTCCTGGTGATATAGGAGAAACTCCCAACCTGCTAGACGTCAGATGTGCCAAGTTCGAGTCCCCTGATCAAACGATGAATTCTAAAGAAGATTAAGAGTAGGAAAGGTTTCTTTAGAGATAGTTCCTGAGTGACAGGAGGGGTCCTGGAAGTGGATGGCCACTGAGGTCCTTTGTCAGGGGTAATTTATACAGCAAAGTCACAATGTGGGTACAGCAATGTAGATCAAACTATAATCAACATATAGGGTTACAAGTAGAGCTGCTTAGCTAATATTGGCTCAATAGGGAAGCAGATCATGTAGCAAGGGCACATGGAAAGAACAAAGGTGTTTCTGGGAAGGGATTGGATCCAGACGCTGGTCACCCACTTGGGTGACTGATGCCCATCTGGACTTCCTGGACCAGGTGATCCTAATTCTAGTATAATTCCAAGCTACTACTTATCCCTCAGGAGACATGTAGGTCTGGTCTGGCCATTGCATCTTTTTTTTTTTTTTTTTTTTTTTTTTTTGTATTGGGAATCGAACTCAGGCCCTCAGGCTTGCCAGGCAGGCACTGTGCCACTGAGTTACAACCCCGGCCCTGGCCACTGCATCTTTATCTTGATGCCTAGTCTTTTTCAGATGCACTTCCAGCCACAATTCTGATATCTTTATTTTTTCTGCTGATTTCCTTGAGAGCCCAGTACCTCTCTGACTGTAGAATTCCTAACTTAGCTGCCTGTAATATTGGGGCTGAATGGGTTCCCAGACACAGGTTTTTTGGGGGTCTTTTTGGTTAATCACGTTGACCTTTTCATCCTAGCTAGATGAGTGCTGTGGTGCTAAGTACACGCTCAGTGGACATCACTGTTCCCCCTTTTCTCTTTGGCCCATTTGACCACAAAAAGGCAGCTAGCACTTGCTCTGTGCTCTTGTGCAAGTCTGGGAACCTTGTAGGGAGCAGATGGGGCCTCCAGGTATTGTCCAAGGCTTCACCTACCAATCTATGGTCCCCAGGAAAGGAGGATTCCAGACACCTGCGGGGGGTCCTCTGGGCTGACAGCTCTTGGTAGCACTTGCTTTTCCAAGTGGGAAAAGTCTCTGAGCCCCAAGGTCCCAGGTTGGTAGGGGGACCCAATAACAAAGGCAGGTAAGGAGCGGTGCTGAGGTGACTGGATAAAAGGAAAGGGAAAAATATGCCTTGGGAATTGATTTCGCCACGAGCCCTGGGTTGCAATAAAGGCCCAGGAGGAAATTTCGTTTATCATGCTCCTGGGTGAGGAAACCGGCTCAATGGCCCAAGCGAAGTGACTCGTCCAGGACCGTGCAGGTGGAGACGCACAATCCGTGTTCGGCGGGCCCAGGCACGCTGGCTCAGGCTTCCTTCCCTTTTGCGGGGCTTGAGTCCCCCACTTGTCTCAACAGCAGCCGGGCTTGTCACGGGGTTCTTTCTGTACAGCTTCCCCACCCTCCTGGCTTCCAGCATTCCGCCCTGTCCCCTCCCAGCCTCCGGGTAGGAGGGGAGAGAGGGAACGGGGAGGGGGGTCAAGGAGGCCCTGCTTTATAAAGGCAGCTGGAAGGGCGCTACCGCCAGACCAGCTGCCCGGATCCCCTGCGCTGCCCGTCGCCCCACGTGACCGCCCTCCCCCGGCTCCACCGCTGAGTGAGTTGGGGTGCGTTCCCTTCCACTTCCAGACCCTCACCTCGCTGCCAGCTCCAGGTAGGGAGGAGAGCTGCTGGAGGAGGCCGTTGATATGGGGGCACCAGGCAGAATCCCTCAAGGGACGGATTCAGGACCGGGAGGTAGCCAGGAGCCCGCGGTGCCAGCACCCACCGGGCGCGGGGCCTGGGAAACCTTGAACCCTGCCCGGGAATGCGCCTGTGGTCGTTGCCATGGCAGCGCACAAGCTTGTGCCGGGCCCGCCCTTGAAGGAAAGGGGAGGCTGTTGAGGGATGATCCCACTGAGCTCCAAACCGAGGATGTCCCTTCCCCCGCGCCCCCCAAATCCTTTGGGAGGCAGAGCTCAGGTTGGATCGCCTGAGTATCAGATGGGACCTCGGGGCTCAGGCCCATCTGCCAAATGCAGACAATATCATCGGCTCCAACTTCTCCAGAGTTATACTGACGGTAACGGTCCGGGCTAGCCTCCCTTCTCGTGGGCCATCCCAGGAGTAGGTTTTAGCAGATGACTCTGCGACCCCGCCCCACCCACAGGCCCGCTCGCCATGGCCCTCCTCGGGGCCCTCCTCCTAGCTCTGCTGGCCGGCGCCCACGCGGAGCTCCCGGGCTGCAAGATCCGCATCACATCCAAGGCGCTGGAGCTAGGTAAGGCGTGGGAGCAGGCCGAAGCCGTGGGGTGTGGTCCCCCGCTTGGAGCGCGGGAGCTAAGGTCTCGCTGCTGCTTCAGTGAAGCAGGAGGGGCTGCGCTTTTTGGAGCAAGAACTGGAGACCATCACTATCCCAGACCTGCGGGGCGAAGAGGGCCACTTCTACTACAACATCTCTGAGTAAGAGGGGACCGAAAGGCGGGGCTTTGGGACGGGGCGGGGCTCGAAGTTGAAGGTAGTTTTAGGCGCCATGGGGGCGGGGCTGACTTAACACGTGACCTCAGGCGGCCCTGTAGGGCCCAGCGGGATGGGGCGTGGCCAGAACGACGGGGCAGGACTAAGAAACTATGGTGGTCAAAAGATGAAAGACCAAGCCCGCCATATTGGCAGGGATCAGGCAGATGGGCGTGGCATAGAAGATGTAGGTGGCACCAAGAAGAACCAAGCAGAACCAGTGGAACTGAGGCAGGCAAGGCCAAAAAGCCCCAGAATGGAATAGTTGAGGAACCTGTGAGTGGATGGAGCTAATTGGGGGGGACTACAAGTGTGACCTGTGTGTTGGGATGTGCCTGATAGGGGAATTCGGATACCTGGCTAGGTAATAGGCAAAGCTAAAAGACCCCGTGGAGCAAACCCAGGTAGGGAAGGAGGAGCAAGCCACAACACTACTGGAAAAAAAAAAAAAAAAAAAAAAAAAAAAAAGCAAGCCACAAGGCTGTTGAAGGCTGATGTGGCCGGAGGTGGTGCCTGCCTATTATAGTTCCAGTCACTGGTAGGCTGAGGCAGAAGGATCCTTTGAGTTCTGGAGTTTGAGACAGCCCAGCAACAGCAAAACTCATCTCAAAATAAATAAGTAAATTTTTAAAAATAGAGAAATAAAAATAGAACGAATGTGAAACTCATTTTTAACACTTGGACCAGGAGTACCTAATCTCTAAGCCACTCAAATCCAGATTGGGTGCTTGACTGGACGTGGTGGGGCATGCCCGTAATCCCAGCATTTAGGAAGTTGAGGCTGGAGGATTTCCCTGAGTTTGAGGCTGGCCTGGGCTACATAGTGAGTTCAAGGCCAGGCACAACCTACATAATGAGATCCTGTCTCAAAAAAACAAAACTCCCCCAAAATAAATTGGGTGCTTTGGGGGGGAAAGGGAATAATTCATTCCCTCGGGCGTGTTTCCACGGGTCTATACCAGAAGAGGAGGGAATGAACTTTCTGTGGTTAGAGGGGTCCCGTCCGTCCTTTTGGCCCTGGATCTGACCCGAGCTTACCCGCAGGGTGAAGGTTACTAAGCTGCAGCTGAGGTCCTCAGAGCTCCACTTCCAACCCGAGCAGGAGCTGATGCTGCAAATCACCAACGCCTCCTTGGGGCTGCGCTTCCGGAGACAGCTTCTCTACTGGTTCTTGTGAGAATGTGGGGCCATCAGGGAGAGGCGGGTGATCTGGGGGCCTGGGGTGCTGTGTGGCTGTGGGCAACCCCTAAGTTTTTCTGGGTTCCATCCTTTCATCAACCGCGCACTTCATAAAGGTTGATAGGAGGCTTTGGTAGGATTTCCGGTAAACCGTGCAGGAGTGAGGCCTTTTTAAGAGGTGTCATAGTGTATGGGAATGGGGAGGGGCGGGGAAGGGAAGCCTCAAACTCCCAAATGGGGTGACCATTAACCCCCTTTGGCAGCTATGATGGGGGCTACATCAACGCTTCCGCGGATGGTGTGTCCATCCGCACAGGTCTGCAGCTCTCCCAGGATCCCACCGGCCGGATGAAAGTGTCCAATGTCTCATGCCAGGCCTCTGTCTCCAAAATGCATATGGCTTTCGGGGGAACCTTCAAGTAAGTCCTAGCTCCAGTGCACCCCCTTTAAACCCTACAATGCAAAATGTGGGAGTCAGACTAGCTGGATTCAGAGCTCAGGCTCCAGCACTTCCCGTGTGAACTTGGTCAAATCACTGAAGCTCAATGCCTCAGGTGTCTTGTAGGTATAATGAGGATGATAACAGAACCTAGTTTATAAGGTCAGAGAGATAACAGTAGTCTTTTGTGTTGACGGTAAAGGACCTGGCACATGATAAATGCCTGAGTGCTGCTTGCTTACTAAGAGTAATTGTGAGGATTAATAGTGTCCTGTGCTGGGTTCTCAATCATAGGTAGCCCTTTACTTTGAAACAGGGTTTAATTAAGTCACTAAGTTGCCCAGGCTGGGCTCCAATTTGCAGTCCTTCTGTCCCAGCCTCTTAAAATGCTGCAATTAAAGGCATGCTCAGTTGCTCTTTTTTTTTTTTGGTGCGGGGGAGCGATTTGAGACAGGGTCTCACTATGTAGTTGAGACTGACCTGGAATTCACTATGTAGCCCAGGCTGGTCTCGAACTCACAGCAATCCTCTGGCCTCAGCCTCCTGAGTGCTGGGGCAGGTGCTTTTAATAATAACAAAAATAATACCATAGTTCCATTTCTGAGCTGAGAAGGGGACTTTGTTGTGCTGGTTCTGGGAGAGGGTGGGGAAAAGATAGTGGACTTATCATCTGGTGTTGGTAGGTTGTCAGCTTTTTATTTAATCAGCAAAGTGTATGCCAGACCCTGAGGATTCAGAAAGCAGCTCAGAGCCCAGCTGGAGGGACTAAACAGAGCCTAGATCAGGACCCTGAGAGGACTAAGAAAGTGCTCTGGGCGTTCAGAGGAGGATGACCTGGGAAGGATGTCTGGAAGGGCAGGGATCTGCGTGCATACAAGAGGAAATCGGGCAGGAGCACTGAAGGCAGCAAGGAAGGCGTCAGGAGGTGCGTGGGTGCCGGGTTGCTCTGCAGCTGAGCAACTGTGATTGGTCACTGGTTGGACCCATGTGGCTGGTGGGGGCAGCAGGTAGGTGAGGCAGTCTTGAGAATCAAGCTGGAGAGGGGTTTGAGGCCTGGATGTTGGTGATTCAGGCTGAAACTGAGGAGTCTGTCACAACTGTGTCTCTGGTCCTTTTCGTTTCTCCTAGACCCAGACTGGGGCTGGGCTTACCCCTCTTCTCTCCTCTACTTGCAGGAAGGTGTATGATTTTCTGTCCACGTTCATCACCTCTGGGATGCGCTTCCTACTCAACCAGCAGGTGTGGGCAGTGGCAGGCTGGGGGCGTGGGGTGGGCGCACCTTGGCTTTGAGAAGGCCCTGATTCTGGCTCTTGCCTCCTAGATTTGCCCGGTGCTCTATCACTCGGGGATGGTCTTGCTCAACTCCCTCCTGGATACTGTGCCTGGTGAGTCAGGGCAGGTGGGGTCAGAAGTCCTGGGCTGGCCTGCAGCTGGTGGGACTGAGGAGCAGGCTGGGTGAACCTCTGTCACTCAGCAGCCCAGTGTAGGCCTCTCCAAGCCCAGCTGTGGAACAGCTCTGGGTATGGTCCTGTCCCTGACTTCAGTGTGACCACAGCAGGGCTTCTGTTTCCTTGCTTGGCTGGCAGTGCCTCCTTCTAGGATTGACAGGGTCCTCATTGCTGATTTGGGGCCAATTAGTTTTCAACATCTAGCAGATACTAGGTGCTTATTTAACATGAATTTTGTTCCTAACCATGGTCTTGTCGACTATGGGACAGAGATCTTATCCTATCATGCCCAACACACAGGATGTGCGAAGGAAGGTTGAAGGAGGGAAAACCAAGAAAGGAAAGGATTCCTTTGCCTTCTTATTTGGTGACTTAATGAAACCCCTGTGGTGGTAACAACAGAAGTAATAATAAAAATAATCATAGTCAGGGGCCAGGGATTTAGCTCAGTGGTTCTGTTGGCTGCCTGACGAGCACAAGGTCCTGAGTTTGATCCTCGGTACCAAAGGGGGGGAAAAAAAATCAGTCAGGCACGCTGGCACAAGCTTGTGTAATCCCAGCACTCTGGGAGCCTCAGACAGGAGAACTGCAAGTCTGAGCCCAGCCCAGGCAAGTTGCAATTTAGTGAGACCCTGACTCAAAGTAAATAAAAAGGGCTAAAGATGTAAGCTTAGTGTGTAGGGCCTGCGTTCAATCCTCAGCACTAAAAAAAAAAGAAAAAGAAAAAGCTAACATTACTGAACACTTATTACGTATCAGGCACTAAGTGGTTTCCACATAAAACAAATTCCATCCTCATAACAACCCTAGGAGGGGAGTATTACGTTATGGATGAGAGGCCCAGAGAGGTTAAGCACCTGGCCTAGCATCACACAGCTTTGAGTGACTAGAGCCCCTCCCTGCAGTGCGCAGTTCTGTGGATGAGCTGGTTGGCATTGACTATTCCCTCCTGAAGGATCCTGTGGTCTCCAACGACAATCTGGACATGGAATTCCGGGTGAGCTGCCTGGGATGGTTTCTATATAACCTGACTTCTAACCACACTCTTCTTCTGAGTTGCTGGTTTTATCTTCCTGAAGCACAGCTTGGATGCAGCCACTCATTATTGAGAGTGCTGTGGTTCCTTGTTGCTGCAAAATTAGGTTCAGCCAGCTGCCTCTGGGGTTTTGTCCCTACCCTCAGCCCCACACTGGGGACTGAACTCAGGACCTTTGTACTGAGCTATATCTCTACCTTTCTTTTTTGCTAGGCATTGTGAGTAATCTAAACATGATTTAAAGTGTACCAGAGGATATGTGTACGTTATATGTAAAGGGCAGGGGTTTTAGCTCAGTGGACTGCCCTTGCAAACGCAAGGTCCTCAGTTTGATCCCGGTACCCGCCCCGCACCCCCGCAAAAGTCCTATGTAAATACTATGTTTTTTGTATTTTTGTTTTTTTTTTTGAGACAAGGTCTTGTTATGTAGTTCAGACTGCCCTGGAACTCACTATGTAGTCCACGCTGGCCTCTCAAGTCATGGCAATCCTCTTGCCTCAGCCTTCTGAGTGCTGGGACTATAGGTGTGCGCCACCACGTCTGGCCTTCCAACTTGGAATTCTGCCTCAGCCTCCCTTGGAATTACAGATGTGCACCACCACGCTCAGCTGTCTGGCCCCATTTTCCTAACCACATCCTGTTTCTTTGCAGCTACTCTTGCCCAAATAAGCCCCTCACCTCTCACCTTGGTGCTCGTACACTGCCCATCCCCCTTTCCTCAAAGGAATCGGGTATGAACCTCCTTTCACCCTCTCAGGTGAATACTTTGAATCATCTTGAGGTTACTCATAATGTCTAGCACAATGTAAATACTGTGTCAATAGCTGTTAGAGTGTATTCTTCAGGAGCTATGACAAGAAAAGTCTATAGGGTACAGGCCTGGTACAGATGGAGTGGTTCCTGTCAGTCAACGGTTGGTAGAATCTGTGGCTATGGAGGACCAATCGCCTCCTGTGCTCATTTTAGATAAGATATGAAGACTTCTCAGAGAGGGGTGATGTTAGCTCGGGTGCTGGTGCACACCTGTCATCTTAGCACATGGGAAGCCAGCCCGAGCTACATGGTGAAACCCTATCTCAAAAACCAAACCGCAAAGGAAAGAAAAGCTGGGTGCGATGGCAGATTTAGAATCCCAGCACACAGGAGGCCGGGAAGGAGCACTGAGTTTCAGGCCAGCCTGGACTGCATAGGGAGACTTTGTCTCAAAAGAAAACAAAGGGGGGTGGGACTGATGTAGCATACCCAAGGCCACACAGCTAGTGTGTGAGTACCTTTGCTCCTCCCAGTGGAAGAAAGCCAAGAATTTCAGAGCACAAAATCTGTGGCTTGAATTCTGAAGCTCAAATCCTGGCTCCGCCACTGACTAGCTCTGTGACTTTATGGAAATGATTAACCTGCTGTGCCTGTTTCCCAATATGGAAAAGGGAACAGCAGAGTGAGGAAACACACCTCAGGTCCGCTACTTGAGTTGATCTTCATGCAGGGGCTGAACGAGTACCTGGCACTGACCCCCAAGCCTGTGTAGTAACAGTGCTCGTTAATGCCATCTGGCTTTCAAGGCCTACTCAGATGCCACCTCTCCTGTGGAACCTTCCCTGGTGCTCCCCTCCCTGGGCCAGTGATTTCCTCCCTGCAGTTCTCCAGCTGCCCACCTTGCAATGCCTTTTAAGAGACGTGCCTGAGTCTTCCCAGAACTAGCACAGGGTGAGGAGACACCTGCTGTCAGCCTGGATGCTGGGCTGCTCTGCCTTGATCCTGACTCTCACCCCCAATCTCAGGGGGAATTCTTCCCCCTGGTGGAGGGGGACTGGAGCTTCCTCAACCAGGCAGTGGAGCCTCAGCTGCAGGAGGAGGAACGGATGGTGTATGTAGCCTTCTCAGAATTCTTCTTCGACTCTGCCTTGGAGAGCTACTTCTGGGCAGGAGCCTTTCGGTTGTCATTGGAGAAGGTAGGCCAGGGCCTGTTGGTAGGATGGGAAAGGGGTCCCTGATCGAGCTCCCAATGACCCTGTCTCGTTCCCAATTCCCCTGTTCAGCTGCCAAAGGATCTGGACATGCTGCTGAGGGCCACCTACTTTGGAAGCATTGTCCTCCTGGTGAGCACTGGTGGGATACAGGGGTGTGGCCAGGGTTTCAGGGCAGCCACCTACACACCAGAGAGGGGTGAGTAGAACGTATAGAAGAGGCCCCAGCAGAGGCCCTGGAGGAGACAGAAGCCCCCACCTGTCACCTGTGGCCAAGTCCATTTCCAAATCTACGAAGGGAGACGCTACTTCCTGTCCTGTGTCTGGCACAGAGATCCGGTGAGGGTGGGAGAGAACCCAAGTCTTGCGAGTGTAGGGACTTTAATGAAAGAAATGCTGCCGTTATTTGTTTGGTATCGGGGATCGAACTTGGGACCTTGTGTTTGTGAGGCAGGTGGCAGAACCACTGAGCTGAATCCCTCCTGGCTCACAGAGGTTATTATTAAAGGATGTTTTCTCAGTTCATAAGAGCTGGAATTTGAATCTGGAATCTGGTCGGGAACCTCTTCTACCTCATTCAACCTCATAAGGTGGTCACAGGGATTAAAGAAATTAAACACATAAAATATTTAGAACAGCACCTGACACGGAGCAAGCATGCAGTAAACTCAGCTACGGTTATTGCTGCTGTCATCAGCGTCATCACCACCACCATAAAACTTCAGACCAGACAGTAAAGAGCATGCGATCTGCTCAGCTTCTGGTTCTGCAATTGATGAACTCTGTGACCATGGACAAATTACTAACCTCAGCGCCTCAACTTCCCTATCTCAAAAATGAAGATAGTATTACCTGGCTCACGTGGTTATTGTGAGGGTTAGCTGAATTAATATACACTCAAGGCTCAGAATCACGTTGGTGATGAGAAAGCACTGGAATTTAATAGGATTCCTGCGTGTCCTGTAGAAGTAGCACAGAAGCTCAGAGAAGGGTAACGGAGCTGAGATATCAGTACATAAAGGCTGTCCCTGCGTCTAGTTAGGGACGGACCCCGAACATTCAGGAGGAAGTATTAGGAACACACCTGTAACCCCAGCCCTTGTGAGGCTGAGGCAGGAGGATTGCCATGAGTTGGAGGCTAACCTGGGCTACATAGTGAGTTCAAGGGCGGCCTGAATTTACAGAGCTAGACCCTGTCTCAAAAAACTAAAAAACTGGGAGGGGGGAGGTCTTGAGGAGGGGAATGGGGTAAAATGATTAATTAAAAAAAAAAAACAAAACCCTAAAAGAATGAATTAGGGAAGCAGAGAAGGAAGAAGACACTCCTTTGTGTAGCACAAAGGACAGAGGCCAAGTTTGGAAGCCATGCAAGTCTTGGAACTTGCAGTCTCTGGGCTCCCAGAGGGTGGAAGCTATGTTATCTTCCTTTTTGGGGTTCTCCAGGGAGCAGATGGGGATTTGACCTGCCCTCCAACTCTGTTCCTAGACCCCCGCAGAGATCGATTCCCCGCTGAAGCTGGATCTTCGGGCCATAGCCCCACCACGCTGCACTATCAAACCCACGGACACCACCATCTCCATCACTGCCAGTGTCACCATTGCCCTGAACCCGCCGCACCTGCCGGAGATCCAGCTGTCCAGAATGATCATGGTGCAGGCCCCAGGCTGGGAGCTGCCGGGGATCAGGGAGAATGGGGCTGTGGACTTTCAAGTCCATAACACACCCTCCTGTACTTGACCACAGGAAGCGCGTCTCAGTGCCAAGATGGCGCTCCGGGGCAAAGCGCTCCGCACGCAGCTGGAACTGCACAGGTAAGTGGATGGTGAGGATCGGGCCAGCCTGGCCACTCTGTACCTTAGTGTTTTCAGGGTAATCACACCTGCCTGGCAGAACAGTGGAGCTAAAATTGAGCCATATCTATGTGCCACTGGAAAGCTGGGATCTTTGTTAATGCAGACAAAAGTTTTCCCCTTTTTTTGTTGTAATTTTTGACAGTGCTGGGAATTGAACCCAAGGCCACATTCACGCTAGGCTAACATTTAACCACCACGGTGCACTTCTGGCCCTAAAAGTACATACTTTTTTTTTTTTTCCTCCCCCAGTACAGGGAATTGAACCCAGGGCTTTTCCCCTGAGCTACATCCCCAACCCTTTGTTACTTTGAGATATAATCTACTGAAGTCAAACTTGGAGTCTTCCTGCCTGAGCCTGCCCCCAAGTGCTAGGATACAGGCATGTGCCGTCATACCCAGTCCAAAGTACATTTTTGTTTTGTTTTGTTTTTTTGAGACAGGGTCTCTATGTAGTTTAGGCTGGCCTCAGACTCACAGAAATCATCCTGCCTGAGCCTCCTGAGTGCTGGGATAGGCATGTGCCACCGTGCCCGGTCAAAAAAAAAGTACCTTCTAAAAGTAACTCCTCTGCCTCCCAGCAATCCTAGAGGCAGGCGAAGCAGGTACTATTAGAGACAAGCAAACTCTAGCAGAGATACTGACAAAACTAGCAGAGAAACTGACATGACCACAGTCGTACACTAAAGATGTTGAGAATGTGAGGTGGACAGAAACTTCAGGTAAACACCTTTGTGACCTTGAAGCAAGTTATTTTATCTTCTTGAACATCACCCCCCCCACACCCACACACACCGTGAAATACAGATGAAAATATCACTTACTCAGCCAGGTACGGTGGCGCGCACCTGTGATCCCAGCATTCAGGAGGATCACTGAGTTCCAGGCCATCCTGGACAATATAGTGAGTTGAAACCCAGCTTGAACTACATTGTGAGACCCTGTCTCAAAATACAAACAAAAACATTACTTACTTTCTAGGGCTGTGTGTTCTTTGGTAGGTAGCCGTTAGCCACGTGCAACTACAGTATTTACACTTAAATTAGGCACAATTAGTTTTTCAGGTGCACTAAGCCGCATTTTATTAGCCACATATGGCTACTGGCTACCACCGTGGACAGTACAGATACAGAACATTTTCCAGAGTTATATTGCACAGTGCTGTTTGAGGGCTGGAGGCAGGTGTGGCGATGCTTGCCTGTAATTCCACTACTCATGGTGGGTGAAGCAGGAGAATTGTAAATCTGAGCCCAGTGCGAGCAATTTAGAGATTCAGCAAGATCCCGTCTCAAAATTAAAAAGGGCTGAGGATGTAGCTCAGTGTGAAAGCTGTGGGTTCAATCTCCAGGACCACAAAATAAAAAATAAAACAAAATAATTTGAGAGCTGGGGGTTTTAGCTCAATGGTTCTGCCACCTGTCTCTCAAGGGCAAGGACCCGAGTTCGATCCCTGGTACCAAAAAGAAAATAAATGGAGTTGCAGTCAGGCGTAGTGGTGCATGCCAGTAACCCTGGCTCTTGGGAGACTGAGGCAGGAGGATGAAGTGTACAAGTCCAAGCTGGATGTGGTGGTGCATGCCTGTAATCCCAGCTCAGGAGCCTGAGGCAGGAGCACTGCAGTGAGAGGCCAGCCTGTACTTCAAAGTGAGACCCTGTCTCAAAAAGAAAAAATAAAAAAAAGTACAAGTCCAGCTTGGGCCACATGGGGAGACCCTGTCTCAAAAAACAACAAAAATAGGGCCAGGGATTTAGCTCTCTGCCACCACACCTGCTTCGAAAGCACAAGGTCCTGAGTTCGATCCCAGTTACTGCAAAAAAACAAAAAACCAACAAAAATAAATGAGGGCTGGAGGTATAGCTGAGTGATAGAGCACTTGCCTAGAATGCTTGAAGCCTAAGTTCCATCCCCCAGCATCTCTCTCTCTCTCTCTCTCTCTCTCTCACACTCACACACACACACACACACACACACACAGAGTAGGAGGGAGGTCTAAATGATAGAGACAGGGTTACAAACCTAGATTTTATAGGCAAGCTCTGATACTTTTGCTGTGTGACTAGGCAAATTACTTAACCTCTATGGGCCTTATTTTCCTCATCTATGAAGTGCAGTTTTTGTTTTTTGTTTTTTTTTTTTGGTACCAGGTATCAAACTCGGGTCCTTGTGCTTGTGAGGCTGGCAGCAGAACCACTGTGCTAAATCCCCGGCCCGAAGTACTATTTTTGATGGTGTCTACTTCTTTTCTTTTCGAGACAGTGTCTCACTATATAGTGTAGGTTGGCCTTGAACTCTGTAGCAGTCCTCCTGCTTCAGCCTCCCAAATGCTGGGATTAAAGGCATGCACCTCACAGCTGGCAATTTCTTAGGGTTGTTATGAGCATTAAATTAATTGTTATTTTAGCTGGATGTGGTGGCACAGGCCTATAAGCCCAGCATGCTGGAAAGCTAAGGCAGGAGGATCACAAGGCAATTTAGCAAGACGCTGTCTCAAAAAAACCTTTTTTCCCCCTCCTAGTACTGGGGGTTGAGCCCAGAGCACTTTATCACTGAGCTACAAACAGTATGTCGCTAAATTACCCAGGTTGGCCTGGAACTTGGGATCCTTCCTCAGTGTCCTGTGCAGCCAGGATCACAAGTGTGTGCCATGCCATTCAGCTGCATTTAACTTTCTAAAAATGTTTAGTATCTGACAGGGAGTAAGCACTGTGAGTTTTGTTAAATAAACGACATACGCAGCGCTGGCAGTGGGAGTCGAGTATAGAGGCACTTGACAAAAAAGTCACGGAACTGGAAAGCAGGGGCCCCAAGGAGGCAGAAGTGACACACAGTGCAGAGGCAGTGCCGCGGGGAAGTCACAGAGGTGGAACATGGAAGACTGGAGGCAGGTACCACGGGCAGGCAGCCTCCGGGGCTTACAAGTTCGCTGGCTTTTGTTTCTCTTGCTCCCTAGGTTCCGGATCTACTCAAACCAGTCGGCACTGGAGTCGCTGGCAGTGAGTTGAGGAAGGTGGGGGGTCTGAAGGGCTTGACGGGGGGCGGCTAACGCGGGCGGCCTGCCCACCCCTGCCCGGCCTTTGCCTCTCTCCCTGCCAGCTGATTCCGCTGCAGGCCCCTCTGAAGACCCTGCTGCAGATCGGGGTGATGCCCCTGCTCAATGGTAGGGCTGGGCAGGGGGAGGGACTGGGGAGGAGGGGTGAGCTGGGGGAGCCCAGACTACGCTGGCTGTTCCCACCCACAGAGCGGACCTGGCGTGGCGTGCAGATCCCCTTACCGGAGGGCATCAGCTTCACCCATGAGGTGGTCACGAACCATGCGGTGAGCACGGGTGTGAGCGGGAAGAGGTGCAGGTTCCCTTCCCCACAGCTCCCCAGATTCTAATCCCAATGCCTGTCAATCTCTCAGATTTTAGCTGAGAGGTCACCTCCTCCCCTCTTTTAGGAAGCCCCCTGATGCTCAGTCTGTGGTTCTACATCTTTGACCTAGAGCCGCAGAAACCACTTTGCCTCTGACTCTTCCACTAGATTGAGACCTGGCCCCCCACAGCCAGGGGCCTTGTGTTTCTCTCTCGACTCTGCCTCAGTGATGGCATGAATGAACGAGACCCCTTTCTTCGCTTCACAGGGCTTCCTTACTGTTGGGGCTGACCTCCACTTTGCCAAAGGGCTGCGAGAGGTGATTGAAAAGAACCGGCCTGCTAACAGCAGAGACGCCCAGGCACCCAGTGCCCCTCCGCTCTCCACGGCAGCTGCCTGAGCCCTCAAGCCCCATGTTGGCAGCTGCCGGTCAGGACTTTAGCCCTTCTCAGTCTTTCCTTCTGCCCCTCCAGAGCCTGGCAGGGTCCCTCTAGCCCCCAGTGCCACAGAGAAGACAGGGTTTGAAGTTGTACGTTTAATTCCATAAGCCGTTTATCTGTCAATTATAATCCGTCCACCCCTCCCCTTGGGCTGTCCTGAGAGCTGTGTTGGGGTCCTGGGAAGAGGATCAGTGCATCAGGAAGAGCTTTCTTTAAGCAGGGAGAGAGCCAGGCCACTCAGGTAGGGGCTGCTGCAGGGATAAAATGCTAGCCTGCCCCTCGCTGTCTGAGACACAGGGCTCAATCTGGGATGCTAGAGGCTGGGAAGTGGGGGCGGTGCTGGGAGCAGGGAGCTGCCCCCGCAGGGCATTCTGGGTAAAGGAGGACCAACCTCCCTCCTAGTGGCAGACCCTGGGAGGGGCTGGATCAGACAGTAATGCACTTCCACTGGTCACCTTGGTCATCAGTAGGGCTCTTTGTTCAGGAAGCGGGAGAACATAGTGAAGGCAGCTAGGGGCTTGTCAGTGGGGACCATGTGTCCAGCACCCTGGGGAAGCAAAGCTTTGTGAGAATCTGGCCCCATCATTACTTCCTTCTTCCTAACCTTCCCTCCCTGAAAACCCAGTGGTGACCCAGAGCAAAAGGCAGCCAGAGGGTATGACCCAGGCCCTACCTTAATGGTGAGGAAGTCAATGTAGGAGAACTCCTTCACGAAGCCAGCAATCTGCTCCCCACTGTCCCCATAGTCCACTAGCCAGGGCCGGCGCATCACCTCCGTCTGTCCCACCAGGAAAGACATCAGCCTATGGCAACTTCATCCCTGCTCATGGCTGCCAGCCAGACCCTACTCTCTGTTTGCCCTCTGAACAGAGCTGCTCCCAGGTACCTTCACCTCTACACTCAGCCCTGTCAGGGAAGGCTGGAAACCTCTGCCTTACCTTCTGGTTGAGAGAATCCACAAACCACTCATCCCCCAAGAAATTGCAGGCCATGTCCACGTCTCCATTGTATATCAGGATCTGGTATTTCTGCAGCAGGATAAGCAGATAAATAGGAGATCTAGAATATGCCCAAGCCCCAGCCCTGCCCCTCAGGGAATTCAAGGGGCCCAGCTAAATATTGTGACCTGGGAACTTCTTGCGTTTTTTCTGTTTACTACACATCCAGTGAGGACTAAGGAAACATTTTATCACAAAGGCACATAGTAGTATAAGTCCCATTTTACTGGAAACTAAAGTTAGAGATAAGAAAAAGACTAGCTACTTGGCTGGGCATGGTGGCACATGTCTGTAATCCCAGCACGCAGTGGGCTGAGGCAGGAGAGTTGCTGTGAGCTCACCAGCCTAGGTTACATAGTGAGTTCAAAGCCAAACTGAACTACATAGTGAGACCCTGTCTCAAACAACAAAAAAGATAAGACTTAATACTGGCCTTACATAACCATGGGCAAGGCTGTTGCCTATCCTGTTTATTTGACCCCCCCTCACTTTTTGGTGCTAGGGGTTGATTTCGGGACCTTGGGCTTGCAAGACAGGTGGCAGAACCACTGAGCTAAATCTCCAGCCCAATTTGCCTATTTGTGACATAATCCAACTTGCTCTTCTTGACTTATGGAAAGTAGCATGAGGTGCAAACAAACGGGTTCAAATCCTGACCCTGCCAACCACAGGACCTTGGGGAGAGGACTTCACCTCCTGGGGTTGCAGCCTTTCTACTCCCAAAGGGGGCTCTAAAGGGGCCGTAGCTTGCTGTGCTGTCCCTACGCACCTGTGAGTTGAGCAGCTTCAGGTACTGCGAGTTCATGTTTTGGTAGAGTCGGCGATATTGTAAATTCACCAGGAAGCTGTAGGGAGCACAGGGCCCAGAAAGAACAGACAGCAGAAGGGGAAAAAAGCCCAGAGATCAGGTTTTTTCTCCTCTCCCCAACCTCCAACCTAGGAGGCAGACAGCTGGGTTTTCAAGTATGTCACTTCTCTAGGACCTACCTGGATGGGAGCTGGCATTCAGAAACCCTCGGCCCACCCCAGTGAGTAATGTCCTGGATGCATTTCGGTTGTTACAGTGACTGGAACACAAGTGGCACTGAGTACTTAGGAGCCAGCAAGTGTGACAGTCACAACACATAATAGCAGGGTAGAGTATGGGCAATGATCAGCAGAGCAGACCTGACTAAACCCCACTGGCTGTGTCACTCAACTTGGAGGTAAGGGATCTTAAACATCCTTCACAACAACTAATTTTCACGTCCCAAAGGCCCACACTGCCCTCTAGAGAAGCCTCAGCCAGAGGATCCCTAGGAACCCTGTTTTGTTTTTGTTTTTGCTGTACCAGACTGAACTTAGGACCTTGCATTTGCCAGGCAGGTGCAGCACCACTGAGCTACATCCCAGTCCCACGGGAACCTTGCTGATGCCCATGAGCCCTGGCAGCCTGCCACACTGAGCTACAAGTGGCCATGGAAACTTACTTGCACATGTTCCAGGGGGGCAGCTGCTCAGGGATGTGGAGGGCCTTCCGTACATATGGGTCATTGAGGTAGGTGGAGGGAGCTGTGGTGTTGGTACAGGGGGGGTCCATGCGCACTTTGTTCCCAGAACGCAGCAGTGCCTGGGGGCAGCCATAAGGTCAGGATCCTCACTTGCCTGCCCTGCCCACTCCTGGGGAGGAAGCCCATGCCTGTGCACACCTGATGCTGTGTCTGCTTCAGTGGCAGGCGAGTGAAAATGTTGCCGAAGTCCTGGACCACAGTCGTACCCTTCTCATACCTGACAGCAATGTGGGGATGGGTGCTGGGCCTATAGATGGGGCTGGGGTGACCCAAGAGATACAAAGCAGCTCCTACCTAAGATGGCCAGGCACACCCCCAGCACACGGGGCGTAGAGGTTGTAGATGTTGAGGCCAGAGTTGCTCACAATGTGGGACACTTCCTGAAGCTGCAACAACACATCAGCATGCTTCACAGATCCAAGACCCGCCACAGTCTCACCCGCTTACCCCAAGACATTTCACCTTTTTCACAGGTGGGGAAACAAGCTTAATGGAAGGAGTCTTCCAGACCTGGATCCAAATCCCAGCACTATTTTCTAGCATTACTAAGGCAAATGACTTAAAAATTCTGGGCCACAGCTTCCTTACTGGGTAACCCAGAGAACACTGCCAAAAGGTGCAGCTTAGAAAAGCAATGGCGCTGGGCCTGGTGAGGCATGCCTGTAATCACAGCTACTTGGAAGGGTGAGGCAGCAGGATCACAAGTTTGAGGCTAGCCCAGGCAACTTAGTGATTTAAAAAAATAAAAATAAATAAGGGCTGGGTGTGTAGTTCAGTGGTAGAGTGCTTGCCTAGAATGTGGAAGGCCTTGGGGTCCCTAGAAGAAAAACAAAAACAATAAAAAAGCAAGCAAGGGGACCCATAGGGAATCCCAAGGAGGGGATGTGATTGTGAGTCTTCTCAGGATTAGGGAGGGCAGGGCTGATGCAAAGTAGATTCAGAACCTCACATTTGTCACACAATCTGGGTCTTTGTTGTCATAGAAGTTACACTTGTCCTGAGAGCAGCAGTGGTCCTGGAGCAAAGACCAGAGCCTGTAGGAGATCAGAGGGGAAGTGCTTAAGCCCAGGCTGGGCAGAGATAGCAAGTGTCCCCTCTCCACCCTTCAGCTGCTCACAGGGCCCGATCCCAGGTGACAAAGAAAGATATCACAGGCTGTGGAATATAGATCACCAATCTTAGCTCCCATTTAACCTGCCCTGAGTTATAGAGAGAGCCCTCTTTAGTCCCTTTAGATTCAGATATCTATTCTTGGCCATTTAGCGCCAAACCTTCTGGCCACTCCAGTTTCCACCTGCGCATAAACCAGGGCAAGGTCTGGGATATGTGCCAGGAGGATGGATCTGTGATTTCATGACCGGCCCCACCTTTAAGATTGCCCAACCGACCCTCCTGAATACCTGTTCCCCAGAAGCCCATGGTAGTAGGCAAAATAGACCAGAGAGTTGTCATTCTGCTCATAGGAGGAGAGTCCATTGCCTACAGCCAGCCCCTGTGGAAATATCCAGGGCACTGAGGTCATCTGTAGGAAGAGGAGGAGCTTCCCTTGACCTACACCTAGACCTAGTGGGGGTGGTGCGTGGAGGAGGCCACTCAAGGTACAGAAGGAGCTGGCAGTCTGCCAGGTGAGCTTCCTATAGTGGGACCCATACAAGCAGAGATAGGGTAGCCAGTGACAAGGCAATTTCGAAGGAGGTTGGGAGTAGAGGTGAGGGGGCAGGGTTGACCTGTCTGACCTAACTGCAAGGCTATGGCCACAAAGGGCCTCCCTCCCCTCCTGCAGCTGTCCTGCACCTGAAGGTTCATGCTGGTGTCCTGCATGACCAGCACAGCCAGGGTGGGGATGTAGATGCCAGCATAGCTCTCGCCAGTCAGGAAAAGTTTGTTATTCTTGTATTCCGGAAAGAGACGGAAGAAATCCTTAAGGGCTTCAAAATTGCTCTGGGCAACCTGGGGGTGGCAGGATGGAGGGAACCAGGAACTTTACCATTTGAACTAAAAAGATCCTTAGAGATAATGAAACCAACACAACCTTGTTTGTGCAAGAGGAAGTGACTTGTCTATGATCATACCACATAGCACAGGACAGAGTCAAAAATGGACTGAGGCCATGCTCTCTCCCCTCATCAAGCCACCTTTGGAGAGCCCAGGGAGGCTGAGGTAGTGGGCAGGCACTGGACTCACCTCAGTGTCATTGGTGGCATAAACCTTGTCATCAGAGTAGGAGAAGCCCACCCCAGCTGGGGACTCGATGTACAACATGTTGGCAATCTGGAGGGGAGGAGAAGCTGAGCTGAAGAGGGTTTCTCAACCTATGCAGGTGCCCAGATAACCCCACGAGACCGACACCTCATTCTGTCCATACCAAGTTCCAAGAATAAGGGTTGTACTTCAGAGTGACACCGTCCGGCTGAATCTGCAGAGGAAAGAGATGGCTTAGTGAGTTTCAAAATCCAAGGAGGTGGAGGGAAAGGGCCATGGTGCTAAGCCCTTTATATGTGAGGCATTCCCTTAGGCATCCCCCGCATTAAGACAGTGATACAAGGGCCAGGGTTTAGCTCAGTGGTGCTGTCACCAATCGCCTGCCTGGAAAGCGCAAAGTCCCGAGTTTGATCCCAGGTACAAAAAAAAAAAAAAAAAAAAAAAAAAAGTGATACAGATGAAAAGACCAAGGTTCGGGAGGAAGGAAGACATTTTGGAAACCCATACAGTCCTTTTCTTCCCTCTCCCAGCCTTTTCCTTGGGGAACTGCCCCCTCTCTACTTACCAGGAAGGGACCGTGCTCTGTGAGGAACCCATCCAGGGAGCTGCAGCCCGGACCCCCGTTGAGCCAGAGCACCACAGGGCTGTTCTTTGGATCTTTCTGGGACTCCACAAACCTGTGATGGGGTTAGGGCAGGGCTGGTGCAGATGGAGGGGCCCCCTCCAGCCCTCCCGCTCTCCAGGAGCCCGCAGGGGTCTTCAGAACCTCCGGCTCTGCCCTCATTGCCCTGGAGGGCAGCGCAAGTGCTGCCTCCCACCCCACCCCAGGGCGCAGCGCCACAGACCAGTAGTGGAAATGCTTGGAATCCGAGGCTCTGAGGTAGCCAGAGTACTGACGGAAAGAAGGCTGCTTGGCCAGCCCGGGGAGGCACTGGATCTCGTCCTGGTCGGGGGCCGCCCAGCCTCGGGCCGCCCAGGACGCGACCAGCAGCACGAACAGCGGCGACAGGGCGGCTCGGGCCATCTGCTAAGGAAGCAGCGGGCACCTGCAGTTTACTAGCTCTTTCGCTTCGGGAGCTTGGGTGCAGCAGTTCCTGGGGAGGAGCTGGGTGCATCCTCCAGGGAACCCCCAGCTCCGGCACCCGCTCCCACCTGCAAGGCCGCTGCCGCCGCCCACCGACCACGGTCTCGGGGATCCCTTCCCGCTTCGGAGTTCCCTCACCTCCGCTTCCTAGCGTCCTTGTTCTACTGGAGGCGCCGCGAGACTGAAATCATGTGTACTCCGAGTCACGTGAGATCCGGCATCACGTGACAGTTTCTCAGTTCCTTTCTGGGAATTTAGGGGGCGTGAGCGGTCAATTGCCGGGTCAAGGTCCGCGGTAGTCTCGGGGCCAGCGATCAGATGATCTGGGCGTGGATCTGCTGGTTCCTCATCCCCCTGGGGATTCGGTCCTGGACAAGATCCTTGAGCAAGCGGCGCTAGGACCCCCGGGCAGAGTCTCGGAGATGGGGATGGTTGGATACCTTACATGGTTTCCCGGCGGTCACCAGTTGAGCCCAAAATAGCCCCCGCCGCCTGCTGGCCTGCCTCTGGGCCGAGCGATGGCTGCTACCTCCCACCCGGTGGAGTTGGGTTCTCCCTGGGGACCCACGAGTCCGGAGCCCCCTCCCACCCGCTTCCACCGTGTGCACGGGGCCAACATTCTCGTGGACCCTTCGGGGACGCGGGCCACACGCGTGGAGAGCTTCGCTCACGGTGTGTGCTTCAGTCGCGAGCCACTGGCCCCGGGCCAGGTATTTCTGGTGGAGATCGAGGAGAAAGAGCTGGGTTGGTGCGGGCATCTGCGCCTCGGCCTGACTGCGCTGGACCCAGCTAGTCTGGCGTTTGTGCCAGAGTTTTCGCTACCCGACCTGGTCAGCCTGGGCCACACCTGGGTCTTCGCCATCACACGGCACCACAACCGCGTGCCTCGGGAGGGCCAGTCCGAGGCAGAGGCAGCGGCCCCCAGCCGACCCCCAGGCCTCCTGGTGGAACCGTTTCTGTGCATTGAGCAGTTCCGAATTCCCCGGGACCGCCTGGTGGGCCGAAGCCGGCCAGGGCTCTATAGCCACCTGTTGGACCAGCTCTATGAGCTGAATGTGTTGCCTCCTACCGCGCGCCGCAGCCGCCTGGGTGTTCTCTTCTGCCCGCACGCAAATGGCACCGCAGACATGCACATCATCGTCAACGGCGAGGACATGGGCCCCAGCGCCAGAGGGCTGCCAGTTGCCCAGCCTCTCTATGCGGTGGTCGACGTGTTTGCCTCCACCAAGAGCGTACGCCTGGTCCAGCTCGAGTATGGCTGTAGGTATCCCACCCTCTGGACAGTGACCTTCCTGGCAAATGAAAGAACGGAACTTTTTCTTTTGTTCTGGGGCCTTGGCCCTGAATTACACCATTGTCAGCCCTGTCTTGAATTTAAGATTCTCTGGGATTACAGGTGTAGTACCACCCTGGACTGACAACATGAACTTGTTAGGATTCCCTAGTGAGCTGGCTAGGCTTTGGTCTGTCCTGCCTGGTTTAGAAGTAGGAGAATCTGGCTTCAAATTGCACCCCCGCTTCTAATTTTGCACAAGATGAGTATACTCATCTCAGCTGATTCAGATGCTCTGCAGGTCCCTTTCAGTTTTGACAGTGGTTTTGATATTAACCTAGGGCAAAGATTCTAAACCAATTCCTAGACATTGGGCCTCAAGAATTGTGTTCTTGGGCCTGGGATTTAGCTCAGTAGTGCTGTTGTCTGCCTTGCAAGCACAAGGGCCTGAGTGCGATCCCTGATACAAATAAATAAATAAATGAAAAAAATTGTTTTTACTAGAAAAATGCTCATCAATTTGGATTAGTTTAGAGACACTACAGACTCCACACTGAGAACTTTTAAATTTTGAGATCTGAAAAGCCAGGTGTGGTGGCGCATGCCTGTAATCCCAGCACTCAGGAGGCTGAGGCAGGAGGATCACCGTGAGTTAGAGACCAGCCTGGGCTATATAGTAAATTCCAGGTCAGTCTCAACTCTGAAGTGAGTCCCTGTCTCAACCTGCCCCCCACAAAAAAAATTTAAAAAAAAATTCTGAGATCTGATATATTACAGCTCTGAAGGGATGGGGATGTAGCTCAGTGGCACTATGCCTGCTTGGCAAGCACAATGTCCAAAAATTACAGTGCTGTTAAGCTTTGTTTATATCTCGAATCACTTTGCGGGGGGGGGGTACCGGGAATTGAACTCAGGACCTTGCATTTGCCAGGCAGGCACAGTGCCACTGAGCTACGTGCCCAGCCCTCTGATCCCATTTTGTGAACTCAGTGATCTAGAACCTTCTCTGTGCCAGGCCTGGACTGGGGGCTGTGGTTGCATAGACAAATCAGAACTTCCTGCCTCCATAAGCTGTTAAGTGAAGCGGGACAGAATTGTGCTGCATTGTAATAGAAACAGGGCAGCAGATTGCAAAAGTTCCTTTATCTCAGGCAAATGAGCAGGCTGACCTGGAAAGCAATAAAGGTCTTGCCCAGTTGATGGCAAAGTGGGGATCAAAACCTAGATATTCTGGGTCTCAGGCTCAGACCCAACCTCTACGTCAGTTTGCCTTTGATGTCCTTCTTTCCTCAGTGCTGTCCCTGCAGACTCTGTGCCGCCTGGTGATCCAGAGGAGTGTGGTGCACCGGCTGGCTATTGATGGGCTCCACCTGCCCAGAGGACTTAAGGATTTCTGCAAGTATGAATGAAGGCCTGTAGCTATGCAGAGCAGGAGTGCATCCTGCTCCCAAAGCCATGTCTAGTCTGAAACTGGCTACATCGCTGCCAACCAGGACCAGAAATAAACATAGCTGAACCTGACATTCTTCTGGTTATTGGATTGTCCTCTAGCCCCTGCAGTCTGTGAGAGGCAATTCTAGAATCACTGCAGGTCAGCAGATCAGAGTAAAGAGACCCTTTTAGACACCACCTAAACTCGAGGTTCCTATCCTGGCCACTTGTAAGAGTTATCTGGGATACCTAAAGAATGTAGATGTCCCAGGCTCTGCTGCTAGAAAATTTTTTTTTTTTTTGGTTTTGTGAGACAGGATCTCACTATGTAGTTCAGGCTGGCCTTGAACTCACTGTGTAGCCCAGGCTGGCCTCAAACTTAAAGTGACCCTCCTACCTCAGCCTCCTGAGTACTGGGATCACAAATGTATGTCACTACACCCAGCCCCTCTTGTTGATTCTAATGTACTGCCACGGTTGAAACAAATTTCCTTAGAACAGAGGCTTCAAGTTTGACACATAGTATAGTCACTTGAGAGGTTTAAAAAAATACCTGGGGTTGACCCTGGGATTCTGATTTGTCTGTGATTAATGTGGACATCAAGAATTTCTCAAAGTTCCATGCCAGGGGATGGTGGTGCACACCTGCAATCCTAGCATTTGACGGGCTGAGGCCAGAGGATCATTGTGAATTCAAGGCCAGCCTGAACCATATAGCAAGAGCCTGTCTCAAAAAAACAAAACAAAGGGGCCAGGGATTTAGCTCAGAAGTGCTGCACCCACCTCTTAAGTGCAAGGTCCCAGTTCGATTCCCAGTTTGATCCCCAGTACTGGGGAAGAAAAAGGAGGGGGGCAGGGGGAAGGAGAGGAGGAAGAAAAGGAGGGAGGAGGGGAGGAGGAGGAAGAAGAGGAGGAGGAAGAATTATTTTTCAAAGTTCCCAGGGAGATTCAAATGTATAGCCTAGGCTGAGGATTAGTTCCTTAGACCAACTATTTCATTTTGCAGAGGGGAAGCTGAGGCCCAGAGATGACAATGCATTTGTCCTCTTGCTTCAGCCTTCTGAGTACTGGGACCACAGGTGTACACCACCATGCCTGGCCTTAGACTCCTTTATTTGTATCTCTGATCATTTGCTTCCATACAGATGATTGCATCTCATTCTCACAACTGATGAGGGAGGGGGCAGTCATCACTCCTATTTTTCAGGTGAGGATGCTGAGGAACAAAACTGTCCTAGCGACTTAAAGGGTGAGAATCTAGAACAAATACCACTTCACTGTCATGTACAGGTTCTAGAATGAGCAGGTCAGTGGTATGAGGCAGGCTGAAGGTATAAAGGGAGGGATTATGAGGTGACATTCTAGAAGGGTGGAGAGGGTAGGATAGGAGGCATGTAACTATTCCCTCATAAACAGGGGCTTTGAGGCAGACATGTTTTACTTCCTGTCTCCACAAACTCATTTGGGTCTTCTGCCTTCTGGCCAAGGTGAGAGGGGCTCCTTGAACCAGAGGGGACACTGCAATTTCCTGGCTCTGGTGCTTCCTGGCTCTGGGGAGGTGGTTTCTGCTGGGCATTTGGGGGCTGGCCTCGGAGTCAAGACATTCCAAAAGTCTCTACTAATTGCTAATCCCCCACTTGCTGACTTATTCATTCAGTACACCTCTAGTCACCTGCATAGTGTTGGGGACTAGGGGTATGAGTAATACTTAGTTCCCAAACTCTAGACAGTCCTTCTTGGACTGGTCTTAATTGCTCCTATTCCCAAGCCCTGCCCCTCAGGGCCTCTTCCTCAAAGAGGCCAAAAATAACATTCCATCTCATTCCTGTCTCTGCAGGTGGGGCTGCTTCTCCGGGTTCCTCCCTTGGCCTCTATAGTCCTGCAGAGCCAGTGGTGGTGGACTCTGGTGGACCAGGCCCGCTGAGCCAGAAAGCCAAGCAGGTGGTACCTGGTGCCCAGGCAGTCCCTGAAGCCAGACATTGCCCTGGGGGTGCTAGCTGGGAGACACTGCCAAGGAAGGAGCACAGCCGATACTGCCACAAACTCTGCTTCATGAGGTGGCTGGAGACCGTGGGCTGGGAGGATGGCTGCTCCAGAAGCAGAGCTCCTCATCTGGGTGGCCCCAGCAGGCCTGGGCTATCACAAGAGGTTCTGCCAGTGCCCTCTGAGGCAAGGGGGAAGGAGGCCAGCTCCCAGCCTGACATCTGCATCCTGACCCTGGCCATGATGATCGCTGGCATCCCCACCGTGCCTGTCCCGGGCCTGCGGGAAGAAGACTTAATCCGGGCAGCTCAAGCTTTCATGTTGGCCCATCGGGAGCCAGAGAGAGCTGTGGAGGGGCCGCAGTGGGTGCGGGCACAGCCCACACAGCCTCTAGGGAGACTCTCCTAGTGAGATCTAGGAGGGGCCAGCCGCCTGGCTCCTGCCTGTAGCTGGATGAAATAGCACCAGACACACAGGGTGGCTTCTCTGTATGGTTTTTGGGTAGACAGGGTTTGTGGGAGCCTATGGGAGGAATGAGAACTGGGTGGGTGGTGACAAAATTCCAGTCCATTAGGGCCCAGAACCCATAGTTTGGTACCATTAAGTCTGATCAGATAGATTAATTAAAATTACTTAGGTAGGGGGCCATACTTGGAGAGTAAAGACTTGATCAAAGTTTCTTATATACCCAGGTACAGTGGTGTACAGCTCCTTGGGAGGCTGAGGCAGCAGGATCACAAGTTCAAGGTTAGTCTGGGTAATTCAGGAAGATTCTGTCTCAAAAAATAAGAAGCCACGCATGGTGGCATATAATTGTAATCCCAGCATTCTGGAAGGCTAAGGTTAGGAGGATCAGAAATTTGAGCTCAGCCTTTGCAATTTAGTGAGAAAAGGCTGGGGATGTACCTCAGTATGAAGGCCCCGAGTTCAATCCCCAGTATTTAAATAAACAGAAATAAAAAGGGCTTGGCTGGGAGTGGTGGCGCATGCCTGTAATCCCAGCACTCAGGAGGCTGAGGCAGGAGGATCACTGTGAGTTCAAGACCAGCCTGGGTTAGTGAGTTCCAGGTCAATCTCAACTACATAGTGAGACCTTGTCTCAAAAATAAATAAGTAAAAAAAGGACTCCTGTTAACAAACAAACAAACAGCTACAGACAAAGCCCAGTGATAGAAAACCCATTGGGTTCAATCTCCAGTACCAGGAAAAAAAAAGTCACAGGTAATGTGAATTTTCCTCCTGCCTTAAATTTCTGAAGACAGATCATTGGACCATAAGCAAGGAAGCAAAATTACCCACTAGGCATTCAGACAAGTAAAAGATCACTCTTTAATCTGATCAGCTCCATGAGGATGCTCTTCTTTTGTACATTAGTTTTTTGAGACAAGATCTCACTATATAGCTCAGGCTCACCTCCAACCTGCTGCAAGCCTCCTGCCTCAGCCTCTGCAGTGCTGGGATTACAGACACATAGCACCATGCCCAGAAGAATACCCGCTTACAAAGATAAACAAATGAAGCCTTAGAAAACTGACTTGCCCAGAGTCCCACTGCTAGTAAAGGTAGAAGCAGGCCTCTATAATAAAGCAGGGAAAGAACCAGGATTCATAAATAGTATCACTCCAAACCCCTTCCTTCCACAATATACCTGAATTGCCATCTATAAAACAAAAAGCTCGAGAAGTGTTAAAATACACAACACTAAACTTTATTGATCTTAGGATGAGCAGGGGAAAAACTGCTGAGCTGGGCTGAGCCACCTCCTGGAACAGCCTCTGGGTCTATGGGAGAACTCCCGGGCCAGCTCACTCATGGGGTATGGTCAGGTGAGTTTTCTTGTGACTGGGGCAGCTAATACCAAGCCCCAGCCCTCACCACCCAATGTCTTATCTCTTATCTTAGACCAGGGGTCACCTGTATAAGAGCTTTTGAACTCACAATTGTTTTTACCTTATAAGTTGTCAAAATCAAACCAAGAATATATAAGAGATGGTATGAGACCATCAAATCTAAAATATTTACTATTGGGCCCTTTACAGAACACATTTGCTGGCTCCTATCTTATAGAGCTAGACAAATGCTAAGTAGCAGGCTATGGTAGAGTAGAAGACCCTTGTCCTTATTTGGGAAGGTGGGAAGGAGGTGTCATGAAAACACAACTGTGTGTGTGTGTATGTGTGTGTGTGCACGTGTGTGTAGGGGAGGATACGAGGCATACATGTGTTAGCATCTCTGAGCATCAAGAGGAATCAAAGTTGCACCTGCTCGTAAGGGCCAATCCAGCTGTCAGCTAGTTCCCGCAGGGTGCTGTACCGCCGCTCAAACTCCTCTTTACTACAGTGCTGTAAGAGCTGACCCACCTCCTCAGCGAGGAGGGTCACCGCTAAGTACTTATCCAGAGTCTCGTTCCACTTGCTGCCCAGGATGCTGTCTAGATTTGTGGCACAGCTTGCCATCCACGGAGCTGGTAGCATGTCCGGTTGGAGCACCTGGTGGCGTGCACTAAGCATGGCTAGGATGTGGCGGCAGGGCAGATGGAAGGCCTGGTTAAAGTAGCAGCTGCAGCTGGTAGGAGGTTGGGGCTGCACTTTATGGGTGTCCTCCAGGATCTGGATGTTTATCTTTTCTGAACCAGAGCCAATGAGGTGCATAGATTTCTGGACCACAGCGAGCTCACCCAGGCAGAGTTGGGCTGCTGGCCCTGTGCAGATGGCATTGAGAGAATTCTGGATGCTGGCTTCCACCAACTGCTCTACTTGGGGGGTTTCGGTGCTGGCGCCTGAGGTGGTGTGATTGTTCTGGGGACTCAGGCCCAGGCTGAAGCTTGCCTTGTCTCCATCATTCTGTTGCATGTATTGGAATAGGGAGGCCATGCCTTCTCCCTCAGATGGGTTGGTGCCAAAAAACTGACTGAGAATTCGGGTGGTAACTTCGAGGCTCTGGAAGTAGCGGCTGCTCTCTGCTCGGCTTCTCCAGCGGTGGGCCAGCCAGATGCGGTCATTGAGCAGCCAGTGTGAGTGGAGCTCAGACAGTTGGGCTGGGGGAATGCAGCTGCTCAGGAGGGTAAAAAACTTCCTCAGGTTGCCTGCTGTGGCTGAGCACATGGTGCTCTGTAAGGAGGTCAAAAGCACCCTCTCCACAGGCTGTTCAAGGGACAGTTGATAGAACTTGCCCTGTAGATATTTACAAATGTGGAAGGCTGAGAGCAGGATCTCAGCTGTGGGGAACTCCATGGCTAAAGTGGGCAGTGGGAGGAAGTGGGGATCGATCAGGATGGTACAGACTCTCTCCCAGGCTGGGTTAAACTTCTTGAACAACTGGAACATCTGGGCCAGGCCTTCAGCATCTTCTTTGGCAGGAATGGCAAAGTAGACTGCCCGGGCAAGAGGACCCTCTAGCTGTACTCGAGGTCCATCCACCAGGAAGGTGTATAACACCTTGCCCCTTGGGTTATAGGTACGGTGGATAAATAAGATCTCAGGGAAATGGGCAAAGAGATCTTGCATAAAGCAGTTCTGGTAGTTGAAAGTATCTAGCTGAGGAGTCTTGCTAACCTGGTGCAGCAGCACAGGGGGACCTGAGTCTTTAATGAGATGTCCACTCAGCATTGTCAGGGCCATGGGAGAGACAGGAGATGTCTAAATGCCCAAGTCAAAAGACTTTCTCTGCAGAACTACTGTCCAGGCTTTGAGTCTCCCAAGCTCCATGGAAGTCAAAGATGGAGGCTGGGCTGTGGATTTTAGATCTTGTTTGAAAGATCTGCCTATGGAGAAGAACAAAGGTTTAAGGAGATAGTAGGGACTTGGCTCTACAATTATGCATTTAGACAATATTTATTGAACACTTACTATGTGTCAGCACTATTCCATTGTAACATATACGCAAGGATATGTTAGATAAGGGTTACAAAACTCATAAACCTGAGTAACAAGTCAGATGGTGAGTTGGGAAAGGGGGATACTTTAGAAAAAAGGTCTCCCTTGAGGGAAGGAATATCACACTGTTCACTGTAGGTGAACCCTAAATAACAAGATGCCAGCCATAGAAAGATGTGGTTCCAGCCCCAGCACCTGGGAGGCTGAGGCAGGAGGATTGCCATGAGTTTGAGACCAGCCTATACAGAGTTTGAAGCCAGCCTGAACTACATAGCAGGACCCTGTCTTAAAAAACAAAACACAAACAACAAAAAAGAAAGATGTGGCTCCTATATGAATGAGACCCTAGGTTCAATCCCCAGAACTGCAAAAACAAAAATAAGCATAATGGCCCACACCTGTAAATCACAGCACTCTGGGAGTCTGAGCCAGGAAGACCCGAAGTTTATAACCAGTCTCCACAGTTTAGCAACTTTGTGATACCCCGTCTCAAAATGAAAAAAAAAAAAAAAAAAAAAATTGGCTGGGCTGAGATGTAGCTCCGTGCAAAGGCTCTGGGTTTAACCTCCAGTACTTAATAAAAAAAAAAAATGGGTATGATGGTGCGCACTTGTAACCCCAGCACTCTGGAGACGGAGGCAGAATTGCCTGGACTCTAACCTGGGCTACATGGTGAGTTCAAGGGTATCCTGAACTACATATCCAGATCCTGTCTCAATAAATAGATGTGAAGAAGACCAGACCTGCATACCCACTTCACCTCTTAAATTAAAATTATAAATATTTGTATAGCCTTTATATTTACAAAATTTCTTGGCATCCGGTCTTTCCCTTTGGTTCTGGTATATAATCAGGCAAGCCAACAAAACAAAAAAGAGCCATAATAAAAACTGAAATTGCGCCAAACTTGCTGTGGGATACCGGGGAAGTCAAGGACCATCTCGGAGCCTCAATCCCCTCCACCATAAAATGAGGCTAAGAAATGTGCGCTGTCTCTACCTCTCCTTCCGTAAACCCCTCAATTAACTGAAATGCTTTACTGAAACGTTTTCATCTGGCCCCCATATGGGTTACTGTCCACATTTTACAGATGAAAAACCGAGGCTTAAAGACGTTACGGAATTTGCCCACTATTACTCTGTTAGTAGCTGGAAGCCAAGTCTTCGGTTCGAGATCCTAACGGTTTCTCGAGTCTAAAAGCCAGGAAGAGAGGGAATACAGCCTTTGACCCCCTCACCTTTAACCCGGGTGAAGGATGGGAAAGTTCGCGTTTGGAGTTCGGCTGTCAGAGAAGTTAACCTCCCACTCTATCGGAGCTGTGTAACGTCTGACAGCGGGGATCACAGGGTCCCCACACACCTTCAACTCCGGAAGAAATCACTCAAACAGAACCTGGCTTCGTCGCCATTTTTCTCTAGTGGACTCTGACTGACCTGTAGGCTCACCAACCACGGCGCCAAGTTGCAGTGACACAAGCCAATAGCCTGAGGAGTTTGTTTTCAGGTTTTGGCGCCACGGACCAGTCATAGCCCTGCAATGCGAGGGCGGGACTGTTACCAGGGTTATCAGAGGCTCTGCTGGCGGTAACCAATGAAAAGCCTAAGGGAGGTCCCTCGCGTCTGAACGCTGAGACTGGAATTCTGGAGCCTCTCTTCAGGCTAGACCACTGGAAGGGCACGTTGCTATAAAAGCTCCCTCAAAGGTCGAAAATGAAAATAAGTAACAGTGTTTTACTGAAAAAAAAAAATTTGGGGGGGGGAGGTGGTGTCAAACTCTAGTACCACGGTTTGAGAAAGGGTGCAAATATAGTTGTACCGCATACTGTACTTTGTAGGGAAACTGAGGCCCAAGCCTCAAATTCTGCCTCTCTCATAGAGATCAGGAACCCAATCCTTGAAACTCAGGAACTCTAGATCCAAAAGAGAGCGAGTGAGAGCAGAACCTTGGAGGTGTCCATCCTAGCTCCCTCCAGAACTTACAGAACAGCACTATGACTCAAGATTTCGGTGAATTAGTGCACGAGTCAACTGCCATTTCTGTCCCTGGTTCCCCTGAAGATGACAGTCTTAGAAATCTGGTTGTTACCAGGCTTTAGACAACTAAGATTACTAACTAGCAACACCAAGTGTTGGTGCTCATTACTGCAATGAAAATTTTATAGAGATCTACAAGGGAATTTGCGCTTAGAATAGACCAACACGCTAAATTTTACACATGAGGAAACTGGGGTCAAAGAGATTAGGGACTTGCCCACAGTCCCCAAAGCAAGTTTTGGCAGTCAAGTCTAGAATTCAGGTTTCTTCCAGGCTTATCTACTCTTACTAATACAGCATAAGGCAACTCACAGTCAACACTGAAGGCTTGGTTGGTAGGAAGAGGACAAAATAAGTGGTAAATTGTAACTCCAATGATACAATACTTTTTCTTTTTTGAGACAAGGTCTTGCTAGGTAGTTCAGGCTGGCCTAGAACTCACTGTGTAGCCAAGCCTTGAACTTGCAGCGAACCTCTTGCCTCAATCTCCTGAGCATTGGGATTACAGGCATGTTCCACCATGACCAGCTCAATTTCTTTTAAAATTAATAAATTCATATAAGGGTCGAGGATGTAGCTCAATGGTTGAGTACTTCCCTAGCATGTACAAAACTCTGGATTCAATCTTCAGCAACACAAAAATATCCAAGCCAAGCCGGGAGTGGTGGCACATGCCTGTAATCCCAGCACTCGGGAATCTGAGGCAGGAGGATCGCTATGAGTTCGAGACCAGCCTGGGCTACATAGCGAGTTCCAGGTCAGTCTCAACTACATAGTGAGACCCTGTCTCAAAAAAAAACAAACAAAACAAAACAAAACAAAAAAATCCAAGCCAGATATGGTGGTCATGCCTGTCATCCCAGCTACTTAGGTGGGTGAGGGATGAGGATCACAAGTTCCAGGATGGCCTGGGCAACACTTCAAGACCTTGTCTCAGAACAATATAAATCCAAATAAGGGAAAAGAAAAAATATGAGAAAAGGAAGGAATGGAAACAAAGTCTTTGTAAATAGCGGAGGGTGGAAAGGGTGAAGGGGAGGGCAGGGACAAGGGGAAAAAATGAGACCCAAGATCTGTCATGTAAAGGTACAAGATCCCAATGATGAATTTAACTGTACTGTATACTTAAAAAGCACCAATAAAGTCGATGAAAAAGAAAAAAATATAAATCCACCCACTTTCAGACAGTAAGTATAGTGAAGCGAGGAGCCCTGCTATGAAATTCTTCCTCCTTCCCCGATCAAGTGGAACACACATTTCCCCTGCTTGGCTTTGTTTTGTTTTTTTCTTAAAAACAACTTTATTTCATATGAATAAAAATAGATACAAATGACAGATTCTTCATAAAGAGCAGCAACAATCAAGGATCACCTTCCTTTCCTTTGTCCCTGAAAATAGGCCCTTTTACTAGGCCTTGTCTCATCCTATCCTGGGGCACAGATTCATCTCTGTAGGGAAAATAAAATCTGATTTCAGGGTCAGAGGAGAAAGAGGGATAACCTTTTAGCATGGAGATAGCTTTGGCCTTGAACAATGAGGTGCCCACGGAATGGAATACTAAAAGTAGGGCTGAAATGGGGCAGTTTCAAAAGACTATGACACAGTGGGGTCCCTCTCCTCCCTATTTTAACAGTCCACCTAACCCTATCTAGGAAGATATTGAAATACTGACCCCTAGCATTACTTGCCCACTTTGAACTCTCGGACTTCCAAGAAGAGGAGTTTGTGGTCCAGTGTGCTGGGGCAAGTGTTTTAATCACGCATGGTGGCTTCAGCGGGAGGGAGTTCCTCCCCTTCCTCCAGTTTTCCCCAGAGGAAAGGGAGGCAGCCCACATCCTTGAAGTCTCCTGGCTGCTGGTTTGACTTAGATGACTGACAGGGATCAGCCCAGATGTCCACAATCTTACGTAGGGTGGAATAGCGCTCCTCCAGCTCTGGCCCCTCGGTTTGCATTAGTAGGTTTGCTAGCTCCCTACTTAGGTCCTGAATCATGTCGTTCCGACCCTGATTTCCAGGCTGGTCTGTGTTTAGGATCATGCCACGGTCCTGGAATTCCCCATTAGGCCCAAGGAGGTGCTGGTACTTCTTTTGCCATCTGCGGCACACCATGGCTTCGTCTACTGGCTGCTGGCTATTGTGCAGAAGGGCCAAAATGTGTCGGCAAGGCAGGTGGTACCACTGTTGAAAAGAACAGCTGCAGCTACAGCCATCTTTGCTAACCTGGTGAGAGTCCTCTAGCAGCTGAACATCCACTGAGGAACCAGCCGTCTCTACTAGGTGGGTGGAATTCTGTACCACTTCCCACTCACTGTGGCACAGCTTGTAGGCTAGTTCGGAGCCACTTTCATGCAAGGTGTCTAGCATGCCACCCTGGGAGGGCTGCTGCTGCAACTGAACCTGCTGTGAATCTGGCTTTGTTGGTTCCAAAGGTATCCTGGTGAGGATCCCTCTACAAACGCCAAGAGGCTTTTTGGCCTTTTGTGGCACGCTTGGAGTCCGGGTCCTCTTTAACTTGGGAGCAGCTGTGGGCAAGTTCTTCAAGGCTTTGGTATTGAAGAAGTCTATGTAATCCACAAAGCGGAGGATGCAGTCCAGCAGGGATGGCTGTTCCCGAAAGAGGCATGACACCTTGCTGGTGACAATGTCCAGGCTGTCCATGTAGGTGTTACATGCATGCAGGCCCTTCCTGACATGCATGTACCACAGCAGTTCGCAGGAGAACCAGTGGGTCTGCAGGAAGCTGAAGAGATCCTCATCTAGGAGAGCTTGGGACATCTGACA